GATCACTGTTTACACAAGATACAAGGATTTAAACTCTGTGCAACTAAAATAAAATTTAAAAATAGAACTGATCTTTCTGTATGAGTACCTGAAGGATATCTGAGCACAGTAGGAATGCAAAGATCAACGTGTAGGGCTCAGAGCTACTTTGCATGTTCACATGTAAAATCTACAATTAGCTGTTAGAACTTGCTAATTCTTTGAGATGAGTTTCTACTGCCTGTTCAGGGAAGACTTCAATGTTCTCTTCTGTTCTGCCCTTGAGAAAGCCATATAGAGGCTTTAGTTATAATGGGTCTGTAAGAAACAGAAATAAATTGAAGGAAATTCTACCTCTGATGAAACAGATTTATTTTTCCTTAGTTTCTAGTTAAAATACTCTAATTTTGACTCTTACAAAAATGCGAAAATTTCTGTGAGAAAGTGAGATTCTTGTTTAATTGCAGAAATAAAATTAAAAAAAAAACAACAACAAAAAAAAGCAAGCAAGCAAACAAACAAACAAACAAACAAAACAAGGAAAAGAAAAAGCAACCAAAGGTTTCAAACTGTTTAGACAGCACAGAATTCAAGAACCATTCTGAACTCAAGAACCATTCTGCTTTGATATGCTCATTGCACAGGACTCTTCTCTCCAAATACAGATGCTTGTTCTTTGGCTTTCCATATGCCTAAATAATTATATACATGCACACGTGCACACACACACACATAAACACACACATATATATACATTCTGTATATCTTGAGTTCTCTTCAGAACCCAAAGAACTCTCTTCAGAACCCAAAGAGGGAAATGACTATACTAGGACTTGAGTGGTCTTATCCTAAAGTCAATGTCTGAAACCAACAGATGAGTTGAATTGCCTCCTGAAGGTGCCCATCCTGGACACCAGCTGGCTCAGATTTAAACATGATCGTTGTGGTGAGAAGGATTCTGTTCATGACTTCCAAGGATAATTCCACTGAAATAAACCCACAAAAGCCAAGATGGCAAGAAAGTTCACAGAAAGAATTTAAAAAATAATATACCTTTTTCCTTCTCTTTCTTTATAAGGAAACTCATAGGAATGGTGAGAAAGTGATTCTCACCTAGCTGAGACACCAAAAACAAGACAGATGAATAAATAAGGAAAGATGAGTATCTATAATGTGCAGACAGCTTAAAGTCTAAACTGCAGAAATTATGGAATTTGGGACACAGTTCTGGGTAGGCATTCTTATGGACTTGGTTTATTCTTGTACCTTTCTTTGAGTTTTACACTTCATATCCTGCCTGGTGACAGAGAGAAAGGACCAGTTCTGTGTGTTCTTATGTAAATGCCAGAATTTTACAACATTTTAAAAGGTGATAATATCATTTGCCTCAGGCTAATTAAAACTATTTTAGACAACACAATGACTGTTAACTCCCCCACTTTTAGCTAAGGTTTTCTGAGCTTTCCTTAACTTTGCAACATGAAAGAGGTGCCACTGAAACAATACAGTTTTCTTGCAAGTTTGGCATTTCTGAATTTCTGTTAAACTTTGTTGTAGACCAGCCTGACTTATTCTCTTTGCCAGGTTGCAATAAATATGTGTTGTATTCACTGCATTTGCTTCTTAAGAATAGAGTATAGAAAGACATAAAAGATAGTTCTTTGATAAATCTTGATTAATTAGGTATTAATTGTCCTATGCAATATTCATTCTTTGATAGGATTCACATTCCCTTGTAAGCACTCAGGATTATAATTACTAAAATTCAAAGTTTGAATGAAAAGGTCAAAAGCTAAAATATTGTCTTCCATGCATAACCACGGTGACAATCACTTTCCTGAGAAACACTTTAACTCTTGGCACTCCTAGTTTTTTTGGCAATGCAAAAAAAAGGTCCTGTGATCCCAGTGGCATCTATTGTTTTTGACCTCTAATAAAAGTGATGTTTCCCTCTGGGGAAAGACAACTAGATGGATTATATTTGGAACAGCTTGTGTCATCAAATCAGCTTGCCAAGCTAGTGGCATACAATGGAGATGGCAAATTTCCATACCACTAATGACTATAGGGAACTCTCTGTTCTCAACGAGTGGGAGTCACTGGTTCAGGTCCAGTAAAGCCATGGACCAAAAAGAAAGGAGTCAGGAAGAAATATAGTGAATCAGCTCACAAAATAAAGTAGAAACAGCACCAACTTTAGTGACAATTTGACCAACTGCTGAGAAGATTGGAGGCACCTTTCTTTTTAACACGATCTTAACACTGCTGAATCTGTAAACTAAAATTGCTAGTGCAAGTATTAGCAGAGCCAGTTCATTCCAGTTTCTTTAATGTTGCACTGACATCTGTGAGATTTGACGGTGTCCAAAATTTCAAATGACATATGTTTCAAGTTCAGGCAATTGTAGTGTAAATATTATTTATGTCAGTGAAAAGAGAAGTTTAAAAGCAAGAATCAGTTAACTTATATGAAATACTAACTTGTGTCTCTGTCTTAGAGAAGGGAGCATGGTAATACAAATTCTTTGCATACAGAGTTGTTAGATGTGAAAATTTATTTAGTATTTGAATAAAGTGTTGTGACATTTCACAGACAAGCAAGAGCTGGCTTATGTGTGGCTCACGTAAAGCATTGGGTTAGAAATGTAATTCCAGACACTGAAAAACACAATCTTTGAGGCAATGTTTGAGAGTGCACAAAGTTCCAAAGAAATCAGCAGATGTTTTGCGTGGATAATGGACTTTTGGACTGTGGAAAACAGCCAGTGGGGGGTGGGGGGAGGAAAGGTAGGTCCAAGAAATAAAAAATAGCTCAATTTTGTTGCCTTTCAGCAAGAGTTACAGTCAGAATTACATATTTCATTTCTGAAACTGCAAATCAAAGCCACAAGTTTAGAGCTGCTTTGAAAGTTTATCCTATCCTAAACTTTGTCTTTTATTTCTTTTCCACTTTGAAGAAAAACCTCAACAATAAGTCCTTAAATATGTGAAGATAGCCTAGATTTTGAAAAATTAGCAAAGAGCAGGATTTATCACAGCATTTCAATCTGAGAATTGCCATTCATGCTGCTTATCTTGTCAAAAAAGACAGCAGCAAAAGGTCATCAGTTCAAAGAAGACTATGATTTATATTCACATTTATATGGCAGCTCTTATCCCATAGGATTTGCAAGCACTATGCACAGACACACATACACACACGAGCACATAGACCATAGACTTTTGCTGCATCATCTTTCACTGTCAGGACTGTCAGAAAGAAGACAAGGCAATATTTTATACAAGCACAGGGAGGAACTCAGAGGAAAATGGACATTTTTTGAAAATGGTTAATACCTGGGTATCCAAAACAACCTGCTCAGCTACAGTTGACTTGGCTTTATATATTAGTAAACAGTTAAAAGAGTAAAATATTTTGCAACTTCAAAACTGCCTTGTTTACTCCATCCAAACAAAGAGCTTGTGTTTGCTTTTCATTTGCTGTGATCTAAAAAAAGTAGAAAATAAGAAGGGGAAATTTTTGGATTTGTTCAGACCAGTTCAACTTTTCATCCAAAATGTCACTGACTGAAATGGGAATTTGCATTAAAATGTATTTTACAGTTGTTAATTGATGAATTATTTATCCTTTGTTTTTCCAGAATGCAGCAATGAAGCGACATACCGTAAAAGCCATAAGTCTGTGTATAATAAGGACATTCTCATCTTATATGCTTATCCTACAGCTGCAACTTATGACATCAGCTTTATTTAGACAGGTACCATATGCACCTGAACAAGCCTAGGTCTGGGATCTGAGGGAGATATGTAACACATGCCAGCTACCAGGCAGAAATGCCTTTCTTTTTTTCAGACCAAAACAGCTTGGTCACAAGGTACACAGCACAATGAATACAACTCTAATACGGGGGAAGAGCTTAATATTTAGCTGACCTTCAAGTTACCAAAAAACTTCACTCAAGATCTACTCATCTCCTCACCACCAGACTAGTTGCATGGCCTATCTGCTTTGGAAACACAGCCCGAAAATCAGAGATCCCTTGGGAAGAAAATTATGTGAAAATATACTACTATGAGACAAATTAAAACTCCCACTCATCAGCACTGACCACTTAACCAGATGCTGAAGGACATTCAATTTTTACACATTCACCACATTCCCCATTTCATTCCAAGGTTAAAATGATGTGACTTTTTTTACTGCCTTAGTTTATAGATAATATAAAACTTAGTATTGCTGTACACTAATTCATAAAAAGCCTCTCCTTTCTTTAGCAAAAAGAGAAAAATAATTGCTGTGTGCTATGTCAGCTGAAAAAAAGTTTTGCTCAGGCAGTTGCACTTTTTACTAATGCAGGTCCAGTAAACATAATAAATCCTTATATAAATTCAAATCCCCATGCTTTCTGAGCCATTTCAGTTCATTTGTTAGTTCCCTATAATTTATTCAACTCCAGTATCTTTTTTCTCCCTTAAATCAGAAGTCTTCCTGGTGCAATGGATCTATAATTATATTGCAACATAGTACGGAGTAGTATAGAATTATAATATTATACATATAACAGTATTTATTAAACACACATTAGTATATAAAAGCAGTTATACTAGATTAGGCCAGATTTGATTAGAATAAATTTTAGTTGTTATCAATGGCAACTTTTTGATTCATATGTCATTGTCTTTCTGAAAGCCCTGTAGTGCCATAGGATTAATATAGGCAGGTGAAGAAAGTGTAACTCCTTCGTCCTATTAAGATTATTATCTTAATAGGGATAAGAATAACATAAGACAAGTGTTAAGAGCTGTCTCAAATTCTGTGGAAGCTGTCTGTCCTTGTGCAAATATGATAAAAAGGATGAGCTGCACTGAGTAGATACAGGCTTGGCAAAACACAGTATGCTAAAATTGAGAGCAGAGGAGTAGGAGTGATGTTGAATTCTGCTTTGACAAGCAGGTGCAGAATCTCCTTGTATCTAAGCAGGAGCACCAATAAGAGCAAAATCACTGATGCTTGCCCACAAATATGAATTTTTCTTGGTATATCAGAGAAGACAGATGCCTGCATAGACCAGCATGCCAGTGCCCAGGTAAAAGATACCATGTAAGTACAGACACAGCATGGTGAGACACTTGTCTCAGGGAGCCACTTGCAGGGATCTCAGCTGGCAGCCACAGCGTAGGCCACACTAGGCCCACACAGTCTTAGATGTTTTAACAGTGCGATGCATTCTCACTTTGGTCAAGTCCTAGAGAGAGGTTTAAATTCTTCCTCATGGATTTGTAATAAGACACCATTCAAGCATTCTGCTGAATATGCTTGGCCCCCAAAGTAGATGCACTGTACCCATTTCTCCTTAGGCCACTATCGCTTGTTGTAAATCCTTACTGTTTCCGGTAGTTCTTAGATTTTAAAACTAGAATGTTGTAACATAATACTTTGTATAAATTTTATATTTTGCATAAATTTGACATTTTGTATAAACTGCATGTAGCTTATCCCTGAATTAATGACTGTTTGAAATACTATTATACACTGTAAAATAGGACTCCTTGTTGGTTAGGAAAATCACTGGCATGCAAAAATTTTTTCTCCAGGTAAATAGCATTGGAAATTACTTTTTCTGGACCTTGTTTCTAAGTCTAAATTTGTTTACTTTACACCTTTCAAGTACTGGAGTATTGTACCTCTTTCTGCTAAGCTAAAGAGCTCCCTATTGTTACACTTCTCTCTGTAGAGTCTAACAGACAAAAGTTGCTCCTCACCTTCTCTTCATTGAGCTAAAGAGACAGAAGTCCCTGAGTACGACATTGTGTTCCAGTTATTTGCTGTTGTCACTGAGGGCTTGAGAAGGTTTGAAGGTAGATAAAGGTGAGCCAAAAGAAGCAACCCTGATGATAGTAGCAGAACTGTGTTTACAAAAGGACACATTATCTATTTCTGCATGGAGGGAGATTTACTGTGCTAATATAACAAAACAGTTTTATAATCACAGTAGTATTCTCAGCAGGAATGTTTTGCAATATGTAATGCAGAGATGCCTCGCTTCAGAGCACTGGGAAACCTGTGACCGTAAGGAAAGAGTGTGGTCCTAGGCTGTGAGCCATGGTCTCTCTCTCTTTAGCATCATCCTTTTCCTTCAGAATGACCTTGATTAATGCATTTCATCCCTTTTTTACCTCTTATCAAAGAAAGCTTTCTTTAAGAGTTCACTGTATGTGTGGCTTTGCTTCAGGCAATACCCTTCATCTCTGTGAAACTTTAACGACTCGATATTCCTGACTATAAATAACAAATGGTCAGCCCAGGCAGCCTCAAAACGACTACTGTGGAATAAAACACCTTGAAAGGAACTCTGAGGTACCCTTATTGCTGTGCGGAAATCACCCTTATCTTACATTTGTGAGTAAAGAGTGGGATTATCTTTGTCTCCTTGATAAGAGTCAAGTATACTAAAGCAATAGCATACCCCAACTGGTGTAAGATGATGTGGGTACTTAGAGGGTGTTCAATCTTTCTTGGAAATAACAGTTGCAGATAACTTTTAGTTTACTAAATCAGGATCTCTCCAACTAACAATTTGTCACACCTGATTTGTAAGAGGGTACCAAAAGTTCAACTTTCTGCCTTTTTTTTTTTTTTAAAGAAAAATAGCTCATTAATCTGTCATTGTTTCCAAGGAGAATTCTGAGGAAGTTTAGTTCACGGAAATACTCCCAAGTGCGCTCAAATCTCTCTGACCTACAAGGCTTTCAGAGCTGATCATCATTCATGGACAATTCTGTGAGTGATTTTGTTTCTTTGGCTGAATTTAAGATGTAAAAAAGGTACAAGTCCTTCCAGTAAGATGACAGATCTTTAAGCCAAACTGCAAGTTTAGACAAGCTTTAAAACCTTTTTAAAGTGCTGAAGAAAATTTATTTTTTTACCAGTTGTACTTTGTGGAATGAAAAATGATAGCTTAATTCATTGTTCTTTTTATATTTGAGCGTTTTTCCACATCTCCAGTGTTGGTCTGTGAAACTGATATTACATGAAAGAGATAGTGACAGGGGAGAAATGTCCCTTTCCAGAGGAATCATTACCAAGGACTGGCTTACTGGTCTTATCCATTTAGTATCAGCCTTGGAACTAGTGTGACTATTTGCTTCTTGTGTGGCAGCTGGGCTCTGATGCGGAAACTTGGCTGAGAAGCCAGAAGTTCAGCAGGAGAGGACCCAGACTAAAGGGCAGACTTGGTGATGAAAAGCTACAATTAAATAGCCTATGGTTAGGTAATTGCAAATAATGTGAATCAATTCCTCAGTTGTTGATGGATTACTGATAGCCTTGTCCATGCTTTTAACTCAAGGTTTTTGCAATCATGAGATGGGCATAAATCACCTGTAACAATAAAGGCTCTAAGATGGAGTTAGTGTTAGGATGGAAGCAGTCTACAGACAAAGTTATATTACTAAATCTGTCTCTGCACTGTTGATGTATCATGCATACACTCCATACTTGCATGGCAGAATAGCTGAACAGCTAATTTTAATTGAAGAAACATATGAAATATGATAAAGACATAGAAGTCTTTATGGATGTATTCAGAGTATTGAAACAATGGAATATCTTCTTACACATACTCTATATGTACTTTTGTTTAACTCCACCTAAAGTGTAGATAGAATTAAAAAAAAACAAACAACCAAACAAAGAAAAAAATCAAAAAACCCCGACAACAACAAAAAACCAACAAAAACTCCCAAACAAAATTAAACTCTGTTAAACTGTTAAATTTACTTAAAGGTTACAGTTATGTTCCACTGATTGTAACATGTTTGCAGTTTTGCAGGTAACAATCTTACCAGGAATCTTGCTTATTAAAGCTGATTTATTTTATTATTGGTCTTGTGTCGTTCAGGACTGAAGGTGAGTGGAGGTGAGGATGAAAATGAGTAAACTGTGTCATTTGAGGGAGTGAATCTGATTAACAGAAGGAGTAATGCCTATTCTACAACACACTAGAGCCTGCCATATATTAGTGTGAAATTCCCTCTGCCTGATGAAGGCTAAGGCACCTTTTCCTAAAGAAGTAGGTAGAAAAGCAACTCAACAAACCAAAAACTCTGCCCTGTTCTTAGTAGACCTCCATGGAGTTCAAATATTCAGACCCAGATATTCTTCAAAATTGGGAGCAAATTTTCTTCCAGATGCCTGTAGTTGCACGCAAACTCTGTCAATTTACCTTTACTTGAAGAAAAAAAATGAAGCAAGGAAACCCTTTTAGACGCACAGTACAGTCATGTGAACAGTGGCTGGCACAGAGCCTGGAGCTGGTGCCTGGGTAATGGATGGCATTAGCACCTGGGTCAGCATGCAGTTGTTACTAAGACTTGAATAATCTAGGTTAAGGAGCCCTGACTTTAAATGAAGGGGCATTACTCTCACCCACCCTCCCACAAGGCTTCCCACAGGTAGGATAAGAAAGATAATGCACAAGGAAGGGACAAAAAGAAGGCAAGAGAGTGACTGTGAAATTTAAAGAGAGTTTCTGAAAAGCAGGAGCACCATAAAGTAATAGAGAAACCCCACCCTCAAAAAAAAAAAAAGAAAGAGATCCATAACTTTCCACATCCATACAGATCGAACACTTGAAGAACTCTGTCTTGTTCCCTTAACCTAGAGGCAAAAACGATTGTCCCCTTAATAGAGTTACTATTTTTTTTCTATTTTAAATATCAGCTCCCTCTACCTATGTCACTACTTAAGAAAACATGTTGTATAGCATAATATTGTGGATATATCTTTAGTGAACCTAAAAATTAAAAAAAGATGATTTCCCTTCTAGAAAAAATTAATTACCTGAGCCATCTGTAAAGATACATTTTTAAGGTCTACATTTTTACTTTCATTTCCTGGAATTCTGGGTTCATTAAATTTCAGAGATGACACGTACTGTGCCTTACTGTGACTATAAAAATAAGGAAGCTATTCATAGGTGCTGTGCAGGCATAATATACTGTGCCAGTGTCTTTTGTGAGCAACTCCTGGGTCTTTTTCAGTCTGATTTTCTGTTTTGCTGTTGATCATACTGCTTCATGAACTATAAAATAAAAAATAATCCAAACTTACATTCACTTTTAGTGATAGCTCAGGTACTGGATAAGACTAAAGGTGCAAATAAGCTGATGTGGAATAAACAGTAATAGATTATTAAGAAATTACTTTAAAAATAATGAATGGAATTATTGGAGACTTTCTGGCTCCTGAACTGAAGTCTGCTTTTGGACCATCCTATTTAATACTCCCTGTTGGACTCGTCCTTCAGGAAGATCCCTGTACTTTTTAAAGCCTCTTTATACCCATCTCCATAGCATCCTGTGGCAATGAGTTCCGTATTTAATTTTGTGATTGGTGGGGTGAGGAAGGGAGTCTCTTCCACTTTGGTTTTAATGTGTTGACTAACAATTTTGCTGGGACCTTCCTAGTTCTTGTATTACAAGAATCAGCAATAAACCCTCTTTACTCTATTGCTTAAGGATCCCAGGCTAGTTATTTTTACTACAGAAGGAGATACTTCATGCATATCTATAGATAGACAGAGGTATAGGGAGCATATTTGTTGGGGAGAAGAAATTTTTCTGTTATGGCATGAAAATAACATTTTATCCTTAATTAATATTTAATTTTTCTCTCACTGGGCTCAAGATCTTACTACTGTTAGTAGTACTACTACTAGTGCTACTACCATTGGTACTGTTTTTATTGTTACACTCATTAGAGTTCTCATCTGGACAGGAAAAAACCCTTTGCATGCAGAACAATTTGATGGTCCTTGTAAGAGGTTTGATATAGAGCCCCTCAGCTAGCACAGCCTGTATGAAATGCAGTGTTAGAAGAGACGAGCAGCTACGCATCATTGACAAAGGACTGGGTGTTTTTTGGGTCAAAGCTTTTCAACCTGAACTCCAGAGAAAAGGTTCCTGGCTGTAACAGTCTTACCCTGGTCTTTCAGACACTTGGCTTTTGCTATTCCTATGATATTCACCTTTTTAAAATGTAAGTAGATTGCCTAGGAGAGTTTTGAAAACCCTTCCTGAAACTTTCAAAATATTTGTGGACATCTTGAAGAGTTTTCTACTTGTGATCATCTACCTCTTTTTTGATGTGCTCTGATTATTTTCTTCCCTTCGGTTTCTGTTTTTCAGAGAGCATGCTCTCCTTTGGCAAACCTTTCATCTGATTGAGCCTTTTAAATGCATTCCATTTGTGCTGCAAAACCTCTGGAGAGGCTGAGAGCAGATGAAGGCCATGCCCTCCTTCTCAACACATCTCAAAACACTTAACAAAGAAGTTCTGTATAATTTATTCCCTCTCTGTAGATAAAGATAGAGAGAGAGAGCCAATAACTAGTCTCACTCGCCAAGGAAATCAATGGTATAGCTAATGCCAGATCTCTTAGATGCAGAGGCTGGTTCTAGGTGCTTAGCCTGTGCTGACTGGGGGACTCTAATCCTGAGTAGCAGCATAGCATTAGCAAACAATGCCTGTTGGGCTTCCCAATGAATTTTAGGAGTTTGATGTCTGGCTTTCTTCCCAACTGGAACACATATGAAAGTTCTCCAAGGGAAAAAAAAATTACAAGATACATTTCATTCTGTTTTGAAATGTTTCATGTCCACAGAACTGAAGGGTATTTTGTTTTGGTAGGGATTCTGAAAAGTTACGTTTTATTGCAATACATGATAACCTCAAATAATAAAACAAAGGCAAGCAGAGGGAATAAATTCAAAATGAAAAACCCAAATGCACAGTTAATTTGGATGTCCTGACTGCTCTGCCTCCGTAAAAATCACCACTGAGAGATTTAAAGAAAAAATTGGGCAAAATGAGCTTATTGGGTTTTAATGGCACCGTGCATTGGTTAGCATGTTATTCCACTGTGATTTATCACTTACTCTTTAGCTGTTATACTTAGGTGTGGAAAAAAATGTGAAAAAAAAAATGAAAAAATTGTGAAATTACACAGTGGACATATGTAATTCCTGTTCTCCTAGAAATTACTTTGCCATGACCAAGAGCAACAGAACATTGCTTAATAGTGCTGGAGGAACAGGGATTTCTCATGGTAAGCTCTATGAAATGGGAACACATGATTTGCAGGGTGCAACATGCCAGTAGCTGGAAACAAAAGTTACAGCAACAACTTTCTAACACGGTTCCAGCAAGGAGGGAAGACTGCTAACTTTCCAAAGTCATGTGCTATTTAATCAAAGCTCCCACTCTACAGCTTTTCTGAGCTAGGCTGCCTTACTATGTGTTCATTACAATTCTGAGCCAGTTTGACATCCACATTCTAACAAACCAATCTTTTCACAATTCTCTGAAATAAAATTGAAA